ATCAGAAATCATTAGAATAGTGCTACACAATGATGTGAAAAAGAAAGAACATCAAGTAACATCACAATTCTTTTGTCTAGTTAACTCTCCTCTCTGCTACATAAAGATGACTATAAACAAAACCTTATCTAACCAAGATTATGTGCAAAAACATTCTAAGTTCTTAAAGGTGGTATGGTAATGTCTCTTTCCCTTGAAGAATTCAAGTCTTTTCTTCTCCAGACACAACCCTAAGTAGCTCAGCCAGACCCATGCCCATTTATCCATCCAAAAATTTGATCTGAGTATCTTGCCAGAGATACTTTGTGTCAGAAACTATTCGAGGTGAGGTGACAGAGATACAGAGCGAATAAAACAGAGAAGATGGCTGTTCTCAAAGAACTTTTAGTCTAGCATGTAATAAACTCTTTTGACTCTAAATCATAAAGACTAGATATTCAACTTAATAATTTCTCATTACAACTAAATTCTATTCCATCAAAACCACTTAGTGGTACTGTCGAGTTGATATCATGAGTCTTCACGCATTTCAAAATTTCTTTTGTTTGTTATTTTCTATTATCTGATTAGTTCTGGCTCATGGGGCTTGAATAATCCCAAAGACTTGTATGAATTAACAAAAAAAGTTTAAGCTAAATAAGCTTTTATGATTTGCTATTCATGCTATATTATATAAAGGGGAGATTTTTAATTATCAAATTAATTTGTTCAATCAGATAATTAAACCAAGTAATTCAGTCCTTGAATAACACCATAATTAACCCAAATAAGAAAATATTCATTTCTCATTTCCATGTGTGCCATAGCCTTTTCCCCCTGTACTCTGTTAAACCTCTGCTCTCTTCAAACCTTTCATTAGTTACTGACAAGGAGTGGGATGGGCGAATCCTTTCCTAGCCGCTTCCATAAATACCTGTTGACTTAATAACCTATCTTCTCTTGCCAGAATGCTCTGGTGTTGCTAAAGTAGAAGTGAGTTGGCCAGGAGAGAAGCTGCAAGAAGGGACAATTGATCAAGATAGTCCATCCCTAAAAACTTGAAGGTGGGTAAATGGAGTATAGCTCACTTCTTAGGTATAATAACTATTGGCAATGACTGTATAATTTAAAAGATGCCTACAAAGACATATAAGGAAAATGATACACTAATAATTATGAAAAGGTTACGTCTAAAAAAAAATCCAAGTATATGCATACTATAAATAGAATGCTAATAAGGAGCTCTGGTAGCGTAGTGTTTACGAATCGGGCTGCGAATCTTAAGGTCAGCGGTTCGAAACTACCAGCTGCTCTGCAGGAGAAAGATGAGGCTTTCTACTCCCGTAAAGATTTACACCCTCGGAAACCCTGTACAGGGTCGCTATGGGTTGGAAACGACTCGATGGCACTTAACAACAACAACATAAATAGAAATATGCATGCTTGTTGGTAACTTCTGCCTTATACCTAATGCCCCAAGGAAATAAGAATAATAAAAACACCGCTTAGATTATTAGCAATGGTAAAGTGATGAAACCCTCAGCTGCTAACTGAAAGGTTGGAGGATAAAATCCAGCAGTTTAGAAGCAGACAGCCCCCTCTTTCCCCCAGCTTCCATAAAGATCTACAACCATGGAATCCCTTTCGGGCAGTTCTACTATATCCTATAAGGTCTCTGTGAGTCAGAATTGACTTGACTGGTAATTCAAAATAACAGATCATTGATAACACAGTTCACAAAGACATTGTTCTACATCCTACTTAGGTGAGTAGTGATTGGGATCTTTAACACTATTAAGCAGCCATCTAAGATGCAACTATTGGTCTCTCCCTGTGCAGAGGAAAGAAGAGTGATAAAATTGAATACGTTTGGGATCAATTAGTCCAATGGACTAATGAAACATGAGAACATCAGTCTCCATGACCCTGATGATGCTGGCTTTCACTTCTAACTATTCTGAAAGGGATCACACTAGAAGGTCCCGGATAGAGTGGGAGCAAATGTTAAACAAAACTCAAAATTTATGGAAAAAAAAAAAAAAAAGGCTTACAATGGTCAAAGAGACTATGGCCCTTGTTCCCCCTTCAGGTATCATACTGAACTCACCCCTTGAGGCTCAATTTTTGGCCCAGCAATAGACAGGTACATAGAGGAGACAATAACACTAGTAATGTATGCACACCATGGAATGGTCAACTATTTAGGATCAAAAAGGCAGTGTTTACCTAAAGACAGAGTTAAGAAAGAAGATGGTATGGAAATAAGAATCACAGAAAGGAAGTGGGATGACTTCTGCTACATAGAAGGGATTGCAATCAATGAAGTGGAATGAAGTATAAGATTTGTTGAGTGTATAATTCAAGATCTGTTCTGTGAACCTTCATTCAATGCACAATAAAAAGCTTAAAAACAAACATTTTACCAATGGGAATAAATAAATGTTCACAGTACATCTCAAGTTACTAACCTAGGTAAACCAGTTTATTCTATTACCTAAAGGGAAAATATCTTCAGATTGTTCAAATAATTTGTTTACATCCTAAAAAAAAAAAGATTATATATGTATATGTGTGTGTGTATGTGTGTGTATGGACTCCTGGTGTGGCACTGTAAGATCAGCACCACTAAGCTGTGAACCACAAGTTCGTCAGTTCAAACTTACCAGCTGCTCTTTGGAAACCCTATACAGGTTTGCTATGTGTCAGAATTGACTCGATGACACTTAACAGCAACATACATATATAAGTAGATATATATTTGTTGTGGTTGTTAAGTGCCGTTGAATTGATTCCCACCCATAGCGACTCTGTAAAGGGTTTCTGAGGAGTGGTTGGTGAGCTTGAACTACCAATCTTGCGGTTCAAACAGACTTTGCAGTCCAGCGCATTAGCCCACAGTGCCTAAATGTAGACATAGATATGTATGTGTGTGCATGTGCATGTGTGTATATGTCTGTCTGTGGTGTGCTGTGGAGTCGATTCCGACCCTACATAGGGTTTTCAAGGCTGTATGTCTTTACGGGAGCAGAAAGCATCTTTCTCCCGTGGAACTGCTGGTAGTTTCAAACTGCTGACTGTAAGGTTAGCAGCCTGACTTGTAACCACTATATATATATATGCATATGTGTGTATATGTGTGTAGTTTCAAACTGCTGACTGTAAGGTTAGCAGCCTAACTTGTAACCACTATATATATATGTTGTTGTTGTTGTTGTTAAGTGCCTTCGAGTCGGAGCCGACCCATAGCGACCCTGTACAGGGTTTCCGAGGGTGTAAATCCTTACGGGAGTAGATAGCCTCATCTTTCTCCCGCAGAACCACTGGTAGTTTCAAACTGCTGACTGTAAGGTTAGCAGCCTGACTTGTAACCACTATATATATATATGCATATGTGTGTATATGTGTGTAGTTTCAAACTGCTGACTGTAAGGTTAGCAGCCTGACTTGTAAACCAGTATATATATGTGTGTGTGTGTGTGCTTATGTGTGTATACGTATGTGTGTGTGTATATGTGTACATGTATATATGTGTCTGTTTGTGTGTATGTGTGTATATATGTGTGCATGTGTGTGTATGTATGTGTGTGTATGCGTGCTTATGCGTACGTATGCATATATATGCGTGTATATGCATGTATATGCGTATATATGTGTATATACATATATAAATATATATGCATATACTCTGGTATACTGGTGTGGTCTGTAGGATAAGCACTTGACCACAAGCAAGGCTGGTTTGAAGCACAGGTTTGGTGGTTCAAACTCACCAGTTGGTCCTCGGAAACTCTAGACATAGTTGCTATGGGTCAGAATTGACTTGACAGCACTTAATATGTGCTGTATGTTAATATGTAGAGTCGGTTGTGATTCATAGCCATCCTACATAAGGTTTTAAATCTTTGAGGGAACAGAAAGCCTCATCTTTCTCCTGCAGAGAGGCTGGCAGGCTCAAACCCCAGGACCTTGTAGTTGGCAGGCCAATGCTTATTGTATGGAGTCACCACACTCCCTATATATACGTGTGTGTGTAGGTGTGTGTGCATGTGTGTATTTAGAAAGCAAGACCAATATAAGATCTAGTCATTCAATATGAATTTGAGAAATAAATCTTTTAACTATATAACCATTATTATCTTCCCATAATCTAAATTTTACAAGTGATCATAAACAGAAGGAATCATAAAAGATGATGAAATTCTTTGAAAAATCAGGGAGTTTTAATTTCAGGCATTTCATTTGACTTTTCAATTGGCTTTTAAAATCAGTATATAACAACAACAACAAAAACTTTTCAAAAGCACAAAAATAACTATTTTGTTCCCAATACAACCACCTAAATACGTCATCATAAACAAGTGTTTTATAAAGAAATACATTTCCTGGTTGTTAAATTTAAAACATTGTAAGTGTAGGTGTGGACACCGAGTCAGATTTCCTAAATTGCCATTCTACCTCCACCATATACAACTTGTGTGGCCTTGGGTAAGTTACCTAACTTTTCTGGAAAACAGTTCACATCAGTAACATGGCGGTATTAACAGCAGTGCCTGCATCCCTGGGTGGTAATTATGAGAAATGAGATTTATCTATTAAGTGTTAGCAAGATAAAATGCCTGAAATTAAGGGGGAAAAAACAAAAAACACAATTCCTGTCATATGGATTCTAACTCATGGAGACATAGTAGGTGTCCAACTAGAAGTGTGACTCATAAGTTTTCAGTTTCTGATTTTTTTTTCTGGAAGATCATTAGGGCTTCCTTCAAAGGCACATCTGTGTAAACTCAAACTGCTAACTTTTTGGTTACTAGCTTAGCCACTGATGCCACTCAGGGACATATAACTATTAAGTATCATCGTCATTATGATTTTGAGCAACAATGCCATTGTTTCATTAACTCTGTTAAATTTTCTACAAATAGAGCAATCAGTAGTGCATTTTAATAAACATTTGGGACAAATCCTAAAACAAGAGGCAAAATATTTGTGATATGATAATTTGAAAAATCTGTGAAACCTACCTGCCAGCACAAAGATATGATTTCCTGGTTCTCCTTGCTTGATAATATAACTCCCTTGCTGGTAGTTTCTCCCATACATGCATTCCACCATGTCTCTGATCTGCTGAGGATCTAGTCTCTTCAGAAACTGATTCTTATTAAGTGCATCTGTAATGAGCTTCTTCTCACTAAGGGAATGGGAAAGAAAAAATAAAAAGAGAAACAAAAACCTTGCTTTGCTGTTTATATTAAGTTAATTCTGATTATTACTAGATCTATACTGCTTTTTATTATTACATAGATCTATACTGCTTTTCCAGCAAGCGAAAACATTTTTTATAGCAATCAAATATTTTACCCTTATAATAATCGCATGTCATGTAAAAACCTTTGAAAATATTTTAAAGTATTTTTCTGGTAATCATTAGTATACCAATTCTATTGCCACTTCATTATATTATCATACAAATTGTAGATGGACTACTAGAGGACAATGATCATTAGATGGAAAGAAAATCCATTTGATAGGAAGAAGTCCTTCCCACTTAAGGGACTACAATGCAGTATTCTTTCACTGATGTATACTTGCACACATAGTATCTATGGTGTTGTTGTTGTTGTTAGATGCCCTTGAGTCGGTGCCAACTCATAGTGACCTTATGCACAGCAGAATGAAACACTACCCGATCCTGGGCCAACCTCACAATTTTTGCCATGCTTGAGCCCACTGATGCTGCCACTTGGTCAATCCATCTCACTGGGGGTCTTCCTCTTTTTCTCTGACCCTCCACCTTACCAAACATGATATCCTTCTCCAGTCACTGGTCCCTCCTGACAATATGTCCAAAGTATGAGAGATGAAGTTTGGCCTTCCTAGACTCCAAGGAGCACTCTGGCTGCACTTCTTCCAACACAGATCTGTTAGTTCTTTTGGCAGCCCATGGCACTTTAAATATACTCCTCCAATCCATAACTCAAAATCATTAATTCTTCTACGGTCTTCCTTATTCATTGTCCAGTTTTCACATCTATATGAGGTGATTGAAAATACCACGGCTTGGGTCAGGTGCACCTTAGTACTCAAGCTGACATCTTTGCTCTTCAATACTTTAAAAAGGTCTTGTGCAGCAGATTTGCCTAATGCAATACATCGTTTGATTTCTTGACTTCTGCTTCCATGAGTGTTGATAGTTGATCTTAGAAGAGGTATTTAACATCTTATTTAGTTCTCACCACTCAACAATGGATTACTACTAAATATACTTTATGGATAAGTAAATTGGGATAAAAGGGCCAGTTAATAAATATATCATAGAATAGTTCTATCTATATCTCTGAGTATAAACACCGTGCTGCTTCCATTCCACCCCATTGTCTCTTTTGTGGCGGAGAAGGCAGCTCCCTTGAAACTCATTAGATCTATAACGAGACATAAAGGAGTTCGATGGTAATCAGATTTTGCCCACACTTTTATTCAAGGTTCATCTAGGCTAAATCTGACCTACATTTCCATTCTCACAATTTATCTGCTGATAATCCTAAATGCTCTGGTGCACTCTGGAAGAGTTGTTGTTGTTGTGTGCCGTGGAGTCAGTTCCGACTCATAGCGACATTGTACAGGGTTTCCAAGACTGTAAATCTTTACGGGAGCAGAAAGCCTCATCTTTCTCCCGCGGAAGAGCTGGTAGTTTCAAAATGCTGACCTTGCGGTTCACAGCCCGATTCATAACCACTACGCTAGAGGTATCTAAAATATATACTCACCAATATCCATTACAAAAAATACAAAATGTTTTAATGAGCATGCTTTTTATGTGCATATCATAGAATTATAAACTGGAAGAAAAGGAACTTTGTGGCCCACATCAGAATCTTTGCACAATATATTTGGTCTTACTCGTACAATCATCACAATTTTTTACAATGGGATTTTCTGTGCTTTTCATTCAAACTTTTTCCCATCACTAAATTCCTTCTTGTTTGAAAACGGATAACCTCTTGCTATATAAAAAAAGTTTTGGGGCTCAAAGTAAAATTTAATACAATCAGATACTTCCTTCCTGACCTCACCCATCAAAGTATGGTTGTTGTTTTATGTGCCGTGGAGTCGGCTCCGAATCTTAGCGACCCTGGACAAGGTTTCCAAGACTGTAAATCTTTGTTGGAGCAGAAAGCCTCATCTTTCTCCCACAGAACCACTGGTAGTTTCAAACTGCTGACCCTGATGTAACACTATGCTACAATCAGAACATTAGCCTGAAGGAAACAGACTGAATTCCTTTTTCTTTATAGTGACTCCATCATCGCATGGTCAGCAAAACTATTATGAGTACCTTAAGAACTTCATCCCTCCTTCATTTAAGTAAATCTTGTAATCCCCCTTTAAAAATATCTTTAAAGAGGAACTGTGTCACATTTATCACTAAAAAGACCATTTTGGAGGCGGCGTCAAGATCCCAGACAAGGCAGAAAGGCTATGCAAACCCTCTACAATAAAGATACAAAGCAAAAAACAAATGAAACAGATATAGATGATAGTCCTGAAACCCTGAGCTTCAGATGAAGGAACAGAGAAGTGGATTGAAGGCTTGCTAGAAGAGAAATCTGAATAGATGAAGTACAAAAAGGGGCAGAATAGTGACCTGTGGCAGCAACCAATCACATACTACACAGATATCTTGAGATTTTGTGAGCGACTTCAGAAACAAGAAAGCATTGCAGAAACCATAGTCCTAGGGTGGCATTGCGGGTTAATGTGCTGGATTGCAAAGTTGGTTTGAACCACAAGGTTGGCGGTTCATGCTCACCAACTACTCCTCAGAAACCCTATACAGGGTTGCAATGGATCAGAAGCAACTTGACAGCACTTAACAACAACAATGACAACTGGTGCTTGGAGAGATAAAAGTGTGATTCATTTCCTGTTCACTGCTGGTGAACAGAGGAGTGAGTGGCCCCTAACCATATACTCCCTCAGAGAAGCTCCCACTTTCCCAGTGATCAGAGCTTCAAGGAGGTGATGAGTATAGTTGTGAGTTCCATTAAAGGAATCGGTAACTACTCACATTAACTCCCCTTGGACGGACTCTGATCTAAATCTGCAGAACAGGCCCAGGCCCTCACTAGAAGAAGCAGTTGACTAGATGCATTAGGGGGAAAATATGTAGAAAACAGACTGGTGAACTATGCCTATCAGCCAGGTATAGCATGGACATCTTAAACTTTTTTGGGTGATTTTGAAGGTAAGAGGGTGGTAGATAGTGCAGTGACATTGGCAGAGAGAAAGGTATAAATATTTTTCTTATACCCCATGGCACACAGCCACCACCACCCCACATTATCCTGGAGACTAGAAGTGTGACTGGCCCACCTGCTTACACTCCCAAGGAAGCTCCTACTTTCCAGGTGGTTGTATCCCCATTAAAGGGACTGGGGAACTAGCAGCATCAACCCCCACAACTAGAATCAACTATGGCCTGCTCCAGATTTGCAAAGCTGATTCTGGACAGCACCAGACTAGCAGGACCTCTCATTCATGGCTGCCCAGTGGGACAGTAATCTCTTATCTCCCAGGCACTTTGGGTCTGCAGAAACTACTTCTGAACTGAATGCCCAGAACAGACAATACCTAGTCCTATGGGAACTACAAGGAGAGTTGAGAGAGTTACTATCTCATTCCTTGCCCACCCATGATGGGAGGTCCTTGGCTGAGAGAAGACTCCAGAATTTTCTCCTCTCTGGGTCTGGCATCTGCCCTTTCACTGTTTTTGTGTTTTCTTCCTCTTCTTCCTTTCTCTTTCATTTCTATGTTTTTTTATCTCTGATTTCATTTTTTCTTCTTTTACCTGCTTCTGTTTCCAAACAGTGGCTACTTTCTTTCTGTCTCTCTTTGTTTTTCTTTTCTAATCACTGCCCTTTTTCTCTTTTATTCATTCCTCTCCCTAACTGTGCTTAATTCTTTTTCTTTTCTCATTTATTTTTTTCCCTCTCCCTCTTTTCTCTTTAGTTTTTGTATGCTTTTTACTAGCACTTATCTGCTTTTTTCTTTATTGTTCCTTACTTTCTTTTTTTTTACTGGTGTCTGCTTGTATTTATTTGTTTTACATTTCTCTTGTATGTGCTTTTTCTCTTCTTGACTCATTTGACAGGAGGCAGCATTTGTGTCCATACAGTCCAATCAGAATCATACCTTTTAAAACCCCACCCATTGGGTGTATACCAGCTGTTATACATCAGATCAGCAAAAACAATCAACATCAGCCAAATCCATCCAAAAATGAACGGCAAGAACAGCAAACAGAGGTTGCAAACCCTCCTTACCAAGTCATATCCACCAGGAGGCAATTGTTGAGTACATAAGTATGCCCCAACATATAATCATCAACTTAATATAAATACAACACCACAACAATATCTTCAATACAGCCAACAATGTATTTTACACAAAGAAACTAGCCAGTATAACTCAAACAAGTGACCAAACGGAAGAAGTAGAAACACTTTTTGAGGAAAAAAAGGCATTGCAAACACCTGAAAAATAATTCAAGAGAACAATATTTAGGTACCTCCAAATGATTGGCAGAAAAGGTGAGGAAAACAAGGACCAAATAAGGAAATCACTACACGAACAATCAAACAAAATAGATACAGGTTTGAAGAAAATACAAAACCTGTAAACAGAAATCCAGAAGATTAAGACTTAGATTTCTGAAATGGGCAATACATGGAAAGTGTCAAAGAAAGAAAGAAAGAAGAGTGATGAAAATTGAAGATGTTTGGAATCAATTAGTTCAATGGAGTAATGGAACATGCAAACATCAATCTCCATGACTCAGAAGAACTAGATGGTGCCTGGTTACCACTATCAACTGTTCTTAAAGGGATCATATTAGAAAGACTGGATAGCGTGGGAAAATCTGGAACAAAACAAAACTCAAAATTATGAAAAATAAATAAAATACTGGGCTTACTGGTCAGAAAGAGACTAAGGGAACTTGAGAGTTGGCCTTGACCACTCTTTGTTGTTGTTGTTGTTAAGTGCCATCGAGTCGGGTCCGACCCATAGCGACCCTGTACAGGGTTTCCGAGGGTGTAAATCTTTACGGGAGTAGAAAGCCTCATCTTTCTCCCGCGGAGCAGCTGGTAGTTTCGAACCGCTGACGGTCTACAAAAAAACTTACCCTCATGG